CATTCTGCAGTGCTTCCTCCTCGCTCTCTACACTCCAGCTACTCTTACTCTTTTTCAAGTCTTCAGAAATGCTTCCTCACATCACTGGTTCTTTGCACACGCTCTTTTTATTTTTAAAAATGTGGAACATTTTTCCCAGCCTCTCAATTCTCATATCAGGAGTCACTGTGAAGGAGAAATTGTGTTCCACCCTTTCCTCAGTTTACTCAGATTTTTTTTTGTCATATAATCTTATATTATTTACCTAAACTAATACAAATAATAATAGCTAAGGTTTCTTGAGTGTTTATCAAACTCAAGTGTCCATCATGATGCTATTTTAGAATCATTATATTTAAATATTATATAATTAAAAAATACAACAAAATCTGAGAAGTATGTAATATTCTTCTTTTTTTACAGATGAGGAACCTGAGAACCTGGGTGGAAAGCTGAGTGCATATTCAGTCGTGTGAAGTGGGTATTTGGCTCTCCCAATGGACTGTGGACTTGGAGTAAGATGAGGCCAGGTCTGTTATTGATCACTGTTAGAAGACCGCCTGGCATATAGAATGTGTTTAATAGCTACTTGTTGATTGAAATAATGATGAATGTTTGAATGAGTAATGAAGCAGGACACATTTTAATATGGGAACTGGGTATCCCTTTCATTCTCCACTCTAGTCACCTATGAGGTTATTTGTAAAATTCTTGACAGTTGCTTGCAAATGAGAAATGGCATCCCCAATGCTAGAGATGCTTTAGAGTACCCTCCACTCTTCATTTTGATGACCATCTGCTCCATTTCCAAATGAGGCAGCTATTTAGTTTAATTTTGCTAACAGTGAAGGATGATTTTTTTTTTTTTTTTTTTTAGTCCCAGTCCTTCTAGGGCTTCTAAAAGAGAGGGAGTCACACACACATAGACTCAGGCTTACAAACATGCACACACTGTGTTAGGTAAGCCCACATAGCTGCTGTAACGAATAAACCCTAGTTATTTCTTATTTGTGTAACAACCTAATAGGGGTGTTCCCACTTGGCCAGACAGCTTTCCACCTGGTCATCTAGGAGCCTGGCTCCTTGCATCCCTGGGGGTCCCAGACAGCATCAGGGGAGAGTGAGCATGGAGAAGGCACACCTATGTCCTAAAAATCCTGGCTCTGAAATGAAGCCTGTCACTTCCACTCATATTCCATTGTGAGAAAGTCATCATGTGGTCATACCCAATTCTAAGGAAGAAAAGGAAATGCTGTCTAGTTATATGCCCGGGAAGAAAAGAGACAAAAGATATTTGAGTGAGTCACCGGCTGTTTTTGCCCTAGCTCCCATCCCTGTGATACAAAGCAGAGACCTGCTTTAAGATTAGTACAAAGTGCTCTGGCGGCTGGGAAGATAGAGCTTAATTTTAATTTTAATGTAATTTTAATGGTGAATATCTTAAAGACCAGTGGAGGAGAGGATTTTGAGTGGGTCTTGAAGGAAAGGTAAGTCCTTGATAGAAAGAGATCCTAACAATTATAACAGATACCAGTGCCAAAAATGGCGATGTCAGATGTCAGAGAGAAAAATATATGACTGTGCCTTGGTCTTTGTGTAAACATCTCAGAAGCAAGTAGAAATTATTTTAATAATCTCTTCTTCCTGGTTTTCCTGAACTCCTTCTATAAGTAATTAAATAACAAGCAGAATTACCCCCCTCCACCATGAGTATCTTATCCCTAATGTGAAAATATGAAATAATTAGAGGGTGTGCTGTGTAAGAATTTTAATGTCATGGAAAACTTCTATTTCCAAGACTGTGCTAATTATACAGGATGAGGCTGAACAAAGGGAAGATGTACAATTAGCAGAGCACAACTTATTGCAATCAGCTCTCTTTAGAGGCTCTTCTGAACCTAGATATGTAATAAATGAAGAGTGATCTAGCATTTATCTTTTAGAGGACGAGTCTGGAGACCATAGAAATGCAAGGCTGGGCTACTTTGGAGAGTAGGAGCACACACTCTAGTCTTAAGTAGTGGAGAGAAAAGAGAAGGGTCTTTAGAGGGGGAAGACCTCCATCCCTTCCTTGATCTGCCACTCATTGGCTGGGTGATCTTAACCTTTCTGGGCTATTTCCTCCTGTATGGGGATAATACTACATATGAAAACACTTAGCACTGAGCCTGAACTATATTAAGGACTCTGTTTTTATTTTAGATCCATTTCCCTTCCTTTCTCCTACTTTTCTTTTTCTTAAGCAGGATTTCATTCACCTCAATAAAAAATCCTTAAGACTTTAAGAACTGTACAAGAATGACTGTAATATCAGCTGGATGTATTTCCTCTAAATCCACCAAACTTCAATAAAGGCAGTTATAATATCTGTGGCTCCATCTGAGCAGTGTCAAGGATAAAGAAATACCTTAGTTGTCAAATCCCAGGAGGGCTGACTCAGCTCCTCTTTTCTTCCAAAGAAGATAAACTGCAGCTCACGCAATTTGCTTTTTGCTAGGGGTTTTTTGTTTTGTTTTCAAACAAGATCTTCAGTGCAAAAGACAATCTCTCATACATATACATTAAACGAGCTACGGTGAGTCCCATGAAAGTTTGGGTTTTTCCCTAGATTCTGTTGCCAGAATATTAGAAATTGATATGAAAACCTGAGAGCTTAAAAATCACACACTATTACATGTTATTCAATTGCGAAATGCTGTGGACTTCCCATCCTGAGCCTCAGTTCAGCTATGAATGGCCTATATACTCAAGTGCATCTTCGTATTGACAGAACGGATAGAGGCCCTCAGCTCCTGAGAAGGCATTAGGATTGCATTATCATATCAATAGCCCACATGCAAAGTTCTTGATAAGAAACGATCATAATCCAGAGGCAAGAGATAAAATATGAGAGTTTGATTTGTGTAAACAAATCAAAAGCATTTAAAGTCAGCTACTTAATCTATCTCCAAGCATTGCCAGGAATATAAATATCAGAACATCCTCAGAGCCAGAACAGGCAAGAGTTGAGAGAGTAGAAGGAACTCGAAAGATTATTTGCTACTTTTTCCTGATTTACTATAATCCAGCCATATTGACTTTCTTTCAGTTCTGTGAACCAGCCAAGCTCAAAGCCTCTTGTCTTAAAGCCTCTATAAATCATCTATCTGCCTCTTCAGAAATGCCTCTTGTAATAGTCAGGATTGTCTCTGTTAAGCTACATTGACAAAAAACTTCCATATCTCAGTGGCTTAAGACAATAAAAATTTGTTGTTTGCTCATGCTACATGCTGTGCATCTGCAGTGTGGGTTGGCTGAGGGGGCTTTGTTCTTTGAGGTCACACCTGTCCCAGGCGAAGGGAGCAACCACATCTTGGACCACATCCCCTGTCAGGATGCCATAGGGACAGGGAGCTGGAGTAACATCAATTAGATGCTCCAGCATGCAAGAGACACATATCATTTCTACACACAATTGATTGGCCAGACCACCTCCCATGGCCTCATGGAATCTCAGGGTGAATGAGGCAGCGCAATCCTGTCACATGCCTGGAAAGGAGGGGGAACTGGGAACAGCCCTCTCGCCTCTCACACCTGCCCTGCCTACCTTTATGAAGCTGGTTCTAGTTCTTTGCTGTCTAAGCACCCCTTTAATGTTCTGTAGTGCTTATCACAATATGTAATTGTATTATTTGCTTATTTCCTGCTGTCGTTCTAATCTTTTTCTTCTGCTGAACTATAAGATCCCTAGGAGGAGGGACCACCTCAGCAGGCTAATTCCATGAAAGAGTTCCCCCAAATGGTCAATCTGCCTAATACATTTAAAGACTGAATATATTGGTCTTGAGTTTGGAGAACCCTGATGGTGTTAGTGTCCTGTCTCTTAGTCGATGTCCTCTTTGGCTGTGCACTGATGTCTCTCAATTACTCCTCTCCCTACATAATAGCCGGGGCAAAGGCAAAGGCAAACTGGGCATTCCTTCAAAAGCTGTTATGAAGTAAACTGGAAAACTATCAGTTAAAACCTCATCTAAATCTCCAAAGGTGGTAAAACCCAACATACCCAGTGCAAATTGCTGTAAACCTTGTAAATAATGAAAAGAAGAAAGGAGTTCGGTGAACTGGCATTTTGTTGAATTTGCTTTAGGCAAATGAATTTGCAGGGAATTAGCCCAAAGCTACCCCCCTACCCCCACTCATAGTACCTCATCGTCAAACTGAGCCCGGTATTTAGAAGGCAGCCTGAAATAACTGCCCATTTCATGGGCAAGGAAACTGTAGTTATCGGCCCAGATCATGGATGTGATGGTGGAAGAAGTAAAAGTATGATTCAGGTCCCCTGGAGCCAGCGTGGGTCTCCTTTCCTGAGTCACACTCCAGGAAGGCTGCAATCCTTTGTATAAACTTACTAGCACTCTATTTAGGGCAAAAAGTTAGCGTATGAAGGAATATTCTGAGTATTTGTCTTGAGTTTTATCACTTTAAATAAAAATATTTTAACGATTACTTGTTATTTTGGACACTTTTTAGAACGATTCCATCATTTTCTATATAAAAGACTATTATTTTCAAGCGAAATAAGAAATAATTGAAGCACAATTGCCTGTGGGACAAGGTTATTTCAGCAAAGAAGTTTCAAGAATCAATTAGCTATAGCCTTGGAGAAATGGATTTTTAAATAGGCATTGTCTCAGGTCACCTAAGGCATATATTTAGTTCCCCGATGTTTCATCTTAAAAGAGGCCACCACTGAAATCAGTCAAAGGTTTTGCAGGCAGTTGTAAATATGAATTTTTTAAAAAGGCCATTTTTTTTTTTAGCTTGCATTTTTTTTTTTTCTCCTGGATCATGCAGGAACAAGGGTTATTTCATGGCTCATTGGCAAGGGTATTTACGTGGTATAGCACGGAAACAGTAATAAAAGAAACAAACTAAACTTTTCTGTTTCCTATTAGTCCTTAGATGTTGATTTCTGCTTTTACTGAATCGCCGTTATTTTCCCCCGGTGACAGAACGCGTAACTGAGCAGTGCTTTCTCTTACCTGTTGGGCCAAGCTTGCCATGAGCTCCTTCTTACCGCAGGTGCTGGGCGCAAGGCATGGTCTCACTTTGTCTGATTTGTGGTGGCTTGTGCCGGGAGAAGCTGCTGCTTAGCAAACTGCACAATCCTGTGTAGATAGCCAGAAGCGAGAAAACTTTAGAAACAATGGTGATTAATCAGTCTCTGAACTCTGCCCCTTAAGAATCAAAAGACTTGTATTCAGGCTCTAAGTACAATAAACAAAGTGGCATATGAGTAAGCACTGAACACAGGTTGATCAAACAAGAAAAATAATGAACAAATGAACATAGGGAGGTGAGAGCTGGTCCTAGGACTGCAAACCCATGTGCCTACAAGACCAGGCGAGTGGCATCGATGAGGATGAGGGCCAAGCTGGGTGTGCGACAGCAGGGGATGGTAGGGCTGTGGCGACCTGGTAAGCGCCATGTCCCAGCTTGGAGGCTCCCATCTGGCTGACGGTTTTCATTGATGCCATAAGGAAAAACAGACCCGATATGCTACAACTTCAGAGTTTCAAAGGAAGACAGAAATGAGGATTTTCATGTAAAAATCTCTTGTTTTGTATTGTAAAATTAAATTAAACACAACTTTGTGCAAGTCGAACAAGGCTAAAGCCAAAGGCTCCCGGAAGGTCAGGGTTAGCTCATGGGTGGCCAGCTTGTACCTAAGATCTAATGCAACATCTTCAATTTCCACATGAGGAGAAGGGGTTCCGGGGGCGGAAGCGAAGGGCTGCCAGGGGGCAAAGACTCAGCTAGTTAGTGGCAGAGCTGGGGCTTCTGAGCACGAGTACCTTCCCTTTTACCCACGACCTTTCATTTTCCCTTGTGACTACCCGGAGACTGGCTGCATCTGAGCAGATCTGTTGAAATGACAGACTGAAGTGGCCTTCAGTTGATCTGAGCCTTGGGTCTCAAGCTGCGTTTGTGTAAAACTTCATACCAAGAGGCATAAAATTCTGTTCTCACCATTCATGTTATGGAATGAGTGCTGGGTAAAGCTGGGTGAGTAAAATAGGATGGGCCCTCAGAGGAAATAATACTCTGACCATAGGTATGTGTTTGGGGTGGTGTTTAAGCCGTGTGGCCGGATATGAAGAATGGCATTACTAGGGGAATGGGCAGAGGCATGAGGGGGGCTCCTGAATCTACTTGCTGGCTCCAGTTTCTGCTAAAAGTCTGCTCTCTATACGAGAGGCAGTGCTGTGTGATGGCTAAGTGTAGGGGATGGGTTGAAATACTGACTCAGCTGCTTACTGTGCCTTAAGCTCTCTAGGTCTCCTGTTTAAAATAGTGATAACACGACCTGAATCACAGAGTTGTACTGAGATGTAAATGAATCAACCCAGAGAAAATGCCTAGAATGGTATTTGCACAAGGTAGGCACTCAGTAAATGTTTCTTAGTATTTGTAACACACACCAGTATTTATTGAATACCTAATGTATGCTAACTTGCCTACATTTATGATCTGTAAGCATCACTACAATCCTCTTCATTTTATATTATTATCTTCAGTTAATAATGAGAAAACCATGACCTTGACAGATGGTCTCTTGTCTAATATCACCCTGGGAGGTAGCGGAACCAGTGTTTGAAACTAGGTCTACCCAGCTTAACCATTTGTTTAACCCACCTCTTCAGTGCCTTGCCAGTGTTCAACTGAAGATAACTATTCAGATCTTTGAATGGAGAAAAAGCCAACTTTGGTCAAACACCAAATACTTATCAAGTCAAACACCAAAGCAAAGGAGTCCTAGAGCAAGCCATCGAAAGCACCGCAGTGCTTGATAAAATCTTCTGCCTTGTGTGAAAATGTACTGTTCTAGAATGGGAGAGTGCCACATGACTGAGAATAAGACAGGAGAGTATGTGGTCAAGTTTTAGTGTGCATAAACCCTCACACTTACCCTTTAAAATGCTATGGCTCTTAATAGATTAATAGTGATAGATCAGGGGGCGCCTGGCTGGCTCAGTCAGTAGAGCATGTGAATTTTGATCTCGGGGTTGTGAGTTTGAGCCCCACCTTGGGGGTAGAGATTACATAAAAAATAAAAATAAATAAAATCTAAAAAAAATAACGATAAATCAAATTCCATGGAGGTAGCTTTTAGGAATTGAAACGCATATTGGATATTGATATTGGGAAGATAACACCTGAAAGATTTACTTTAGCATCTTAAAAAAAATTCCTCATTTTTACAAATTGAATATTTTCTATACAGAAAAAGAATGGAATAAAACATAAGCATTTACTAAAGTATATGAAGCATGAATATGAAACATCTTATGTAAAACATTATTAAAGGAAGCAAAGAATAAAGGGAAATGATGAGTTACTGACTGCTAACATGAGCCAGATCCTATGCCAGGTAATTTTGTATACAAGTTAGCATTTACTGAATGAAAAATAACCAAACCAGGGCCAAAATAGGTGTGGAAAATGTATGTCTGGCCACCTCAGTTTTCCACGGGTAGATATTTGCATTTATACATCTCAAGTCTTACTTGGACATAACTCCTTATCTTGACGACTCATTCTGTTTAGTTGTTTTTGACACATACACAAAATATAAATATAATCAACTTTAGCCAAGCAATGGAAGGGAAGGAGGGTATCCTTTCAACCAAAATATTAAATTGTCATTGGTGCTAGGAGAATACAAACTAGGAAACATATAGATGCAAATTTTTTCTACTTTAAGATGAACATTACCCTAAGAGATAATATGTGTTTTTAGCAATAATATAGAAAGCAGGAATATAGTGTACAAGACAAGATGAAGAATATAAGCCACGTTCTTCCATTTGATTTCTAAAGTACAATTTTCGTATTCAAGTTTGAGGCATAGCAACTTCACAGAATTTAAAATGCATCCACATCCAAAAGCTGGTTTTAGAATACAAAACAATATTTCCAAGTCAAATAGAAATCAATTCGTTCATTATCTACTCTTTTGGATAATTGCCATTATTGCTATTTCTCCTTGGGCAGATAATTGAAAATTGACTATATTAATTATTGTGTTTTTCTGGGGAAATAGCCTAGACTAAAAATTTGTCACCCACCTCTTAATCTAAGTTACAATTTTACCAGGCCTAAAACTAATAACTACTCTACTGCATTATTCTAATATAGCTCATTTATATCTTCCCTTCTTTTTAGCTTCATGTGGCAAAAAAGAATTCTGGGGATGCCTGGCTGGCTCAGTTGGTAGAGCACGCAACTTTTGATCGCTTGTCCTATAGGCAAGTTGTGAGTTCAAGCCCCACATTGGGTGTGGAGCCTACTTAAAAAAAAAAAAAAAATTGTTAAAAAAATAAAAAGAATTCTGCCCATGCCATTTTTGTGTAAGGAATCACATTCGTTTTGTGTGCCTCCACATGAGAGTTAGCTATGAAGTATTTTAGTGACAGAATAGGACAAATAAGGTAGTGATAACATTGGGACGGGAGATTTTGTCTCCCGTTTTGCTGCAGCCCTCCTCGTGGCAACGGAGGGATTTGCGCCGTGAATCTCTAATGTCACAATGTGGCCACATTTGATCCTGGTTTGTGTGTGGTCTTTCTGCAACCAAGGACTTGAATCAAGACTGTCAGAACAAAACAGAAAGAGCTGCTGCGTTGCCCATTTATGAACTCACCAAGGTAAGTTCTGTGAGTCATTAGGAAACCAGGTGGAGGAAACAGTTGATCTACTTAGTTAACGAATTTAGGAGACAGAACAGGGTTTTCAGTCGGTAAGTTTCAATGATCACGGACTTAACTTTCCATTTCTCTTGTTACAGGCTGGATTCCTAGGAAACAGACCTGAGACTCTGAGATATGCAGGCAGGAAGTTTACTGGGGCACGTTCTCGGGGAGTGACATCCACGCCACCACGATGAGAGGGGAAGGAAGAAAGGGAGGGAGAGGCAGAGTGGGGATGCAGTCACAGGGAGGCCTGAGCCCACGCTGCACAGACGGCCGCAGAGGCCAGTGTCAGCTCTGACTTCTGTGGACTGGGTCTTCCCTATTCTACACAGGGTATTATTCGAATCCCAGGACTTCTAGACCTGCTGCGTTGTCAGTGGTCTTTATTGTTGCCTTTCTGCAAGAGGCAGTTGAGCTCCCTTAGAAACAGAACGAGCCCTACGAGATACGACTCGCTGATATGACGGTCAGAGCCTAAGTGACAGGGCCAATCAAAGGAGTAAGCCCTGACGATGCTCCAACTACATCCGGGACAAAATACTTCAGAAAAAAAGCCAGTGGAAATGATTTTGTTTGAAAGTACATGCATTTCTTTAGATGTAAACATGGTCATTCATACTAATAAAGCAGAATGATAAAAACTGCAGCATGTCTTCATTGAATGAAGTCACTAAATATTTCTGGAGGCAGTTCAGGATATATACCATAGGTGGGAGAAGATTTTGAGTGTATTAACCAAGCCCCACAAAGAGTTTCAATTAACATCATTCCAGCCTTTTTTTTTTTTAATTAATTCCTAGGAAAGATGAACTATAAGCCAATTTCTGTTTGCAAACACCAACATCGTTAGGAAGCTAGTGTGAGAGACTTCACCATCGGCTAGGGTAGAAACTCGCAGGGGGATGGTTCTGTACAGAGCTGCACATCTACTGAAGTTTTTTCTTCTTCTTAGTCCTTTACTCCACAGAAAAAGACAGTAGGGAAACCCAAGATTTGACAAGCAGAGACAGATTATGCAGAAACTCTTCTCAGCTTTGCCCTTACATCCTACACTAAATCTTGGCACTGCAGATTTTGCAAAACATCGCTTAGGCATCTGATTTAGGAAAAATAACAATAGACTTCAAATGGAGGAGAACTCGTCATGATTTTAGTGCATGAGGCTAGAATTTTGAAACTCAGTAAGAAAAGTGTGGATGATTCTAAAATTCAGTGATTAAAAAGTGACTCAGTATTGACTATCTCTATCCCATCATCTGTCACATTTCTGTAACAGGCATCAAAGCAGAGAGGAAGTGAGGTTTCCAAAAACTGTTCTTTCACGACATAAAATCACTGGGTGCAAACCCCATCTTATACCTCACAATATAAGCATGGAGCCTTGCACCTGGTAGGAGCTCAGTCTCTCACAATAT